ATCAATAGGATTCTTCGCCTCGTGACCTCAAACACTGTGTATAAATTTAAAGTCTATCAGATATTAACTTTAGCCTTTAGAGCATCCACAAGGTTTTTTGAAGTGATCAAGGGCCATAACTCTGGCAGTAATTATCGAAAATCACTGAAAATGAATAGGCTTCTTCGTCTCATGACCTTAAACACTGTGTATAAATTTAAAGTCAATCAGATATTAACTTTAGACTCTAGAGCGTCCACAAGATTTTTCAAAGTGATCAAGGGCCATAACTCTGGCAGTAATTATCAGAAATCTTTGAAAATCAACAGGATTCTTCGCCTCGTGACCTCAAACACTGTGTATAAATTTAAAGTCAATCAGATATTAACTTTAGCCTTTAGAGCATCCACAAGGTTTTTTGAAGTGATCAAGGGCCATAACTCTGGCAGTAATTATCAAAAATCACTGAAAATGAATAGGCTTCTTCGTCTCATGACCTTAAACACTGTGTATAAATTTAAAGTCAATCAGATATTAACTTTAGACTCTAGAGCGTCCACAAGATTTTTCAAAGTGATCAAGGGCCATAACTCTGGCAGTAATTATCAGAAATCTTTGAAAATCAATAGGATTCTTCGCCTCGTGACCTCAAACACTGTGTATAAATTTAAAGTCTATCAGATATTAACTTTAGCCTTTAGAGCATCCAAAAGGTTTTTTGAAGTGATCAAGGGCCATAACTCGGGCAGTAATTATCGAAAATCACTGAAAATGAATAGGCTTCTTCGTCTCATGACCTTAAACACTGTGTATAAATTTAAAGTCAATCAGATATTAACTTTAGACTCTAGAGCGTCCACAAGATTTTTCAAAGTGATCAAGGGCCATAACTCTGGCAGTAATTATCAGAAATCTTTGAAAATCAACAGGATTCTTCGCCTCGTGACCTCAAACACTGTGTATAAATTTAAAGTCAATCAGATATTAACTTTAGCCTTTAGAGCATCCACAAGGTTTTTTGAAGTGATCAAGAGCCATAACTCTGGCAGTAATTATCAGAAATCGCTGAAAATGAATAGGCTTCTTCGTCTCATGACCTTAAACGCTGTGTATAAATTTAAAGTCAATCAGATATTAACTTTAGACTCTAGAGCGTCCACAAGATTTTTCAAAGTGATCAAGGGCCATAACTCTGGCAGTAATTATCAGAAATCTTTGAAAATCAATAGGATTCTTCGCCTCGTGACCTCAAACACTGTGTATAAATTTAAAGTCTATCAGATATTAACTTTAGCCTTTAGAGCATCCACAAGGTTTTTTGAAGTGATCAAGGGCCATAACTCTGGCAGTAATTATCGAAAATCACTGAAAATGAATAGGCTTCTTCGTCTCATGACCTTAAACACTGTGTATAAATTTAAAGTCAATCAGATATTAACTTTAGACTCTAGAGCGTCCACAAGATTTTTTGAAGTGATCAAGGGCCATAACTCTGGCAGTAATTATCGTAAATTGCTGAAAATCAATAGGATTCTTCATCTCATGACCTTAAGCACTGTGTATAAATTTAAAGTCAATCGGATATTAACTTTGGCCTCTAGCGCGTCCACAAGATTCTTTTGAAGTGGTCAAGAGCCATAACTCTGGCAGTAATTATCAGAAATCGCTGAAAATCAATAGGCTTCTTCGTCTCATGACCTTAAACACTGTATAAATTTAAAGACAATCGGATATTGACTTTTGCCTATAGAGCGTCCACAAGATTTTTTGAAGTGATCAAGGGCCATAACTCTGGCAGTAATTATCGGAAATCGCTGAAAATCAATAGGCTTCTTCGCCTCGTGACCTCAAACACTGTGTATAAATTTAAAGTCTATCAGATATTAACTTTAGCCTTTAGAGCATCCACAAGGTTTTTTGAAGTGATCAAGGGCCATAACTCTGGCAGTAATTATCGAAAATCACTGTAAATGAATAGGCTTCTTCGTCTCATGACCTTAAACACTGTGTATAAATTTAAAGTCAATCAGATATTAACTTTAGACTCTAGAGCGTCCACAAGATTTTTTGAAGTGATCAAGGGCCATAACTCTGGCAGTAATTATCGTAAATTGCTGAAAATCAATAGGATTCTTCATCTCATGACCTTAAGCACTGTGTATAAATTTAAAGTCAATCGGATATTAACTTTGGCCTCTAGCGCGTCCACAAGATTCTTTTGAAGTGGTCAAGAACCATAACTCTGGCAGTAATTATCAGAAATCGCTGAAAATCAATAGGCTTCTTCGTCTCATGACCTTAAACACTGTATAAATTTAAAGACAATCGGATATTGACTTTTGCCTATAGAGCGTCCACAAGATTTTTTGAAGTGATCAAGGGCCATAACTCTGGCAGTAATTATCGGAAATCGCTGAAAATCAATAGGCTTCTTCGTCTCATGACCTTAAACACTGTGTATAAATTTAAAGTCAATCGGATATTAACTTTAGCCTCTAGAGCGTCCACAACCGGACCGACGGACGGGGGCGACGACAATATACGATCACATTTCAATGTGGGCGTATAAAAATGGCATAATCAATCGACTATCCGTGTAAAATTATCCGTATCCTGTGTGGAAGATCGAGACTACATTCACGCTTCGTTTGCAGCGGTTATTCAAATTCTATCACGTAATATGAAGCCGGGAAATATTAAAATAATGCTAAAGTTTCGCTAAAACTGGACAGACATCAATTGGACGAAACGTTAGCAATATATAAGCATGGAAATTTGATTTTCCAAACCATTTTCCTGGTTTTTTTAAATGGCATATACTAAAACATAAACAGCCATTCCACAAATGGACAAATTTATTTCCATGTGACGTAAAAATACAAAGTTTACAAAACAAATGTAAGACCACTTCAATAATGTAGTGGATGGATGGACAAATTTTCACTGGGGTTTGAACAATTCAATTTTAGGAACTTGTTATTTTTCTCATCAGTATATTTTTAAGTCTGTTTTAAGAAGACACACTTGCCATTATAATTATACAAAAATGAATTAAAATTTTTAAAACAAATGTTATTTCAATGTATTCTAAAATCTTGATAAAAATTGATGGGAAAAATGTCTGTCTTAAATGATGTAATTCGTTAAAATATTTGTAACTTATTTTAATAAAAAAATACATCAATAAACCTGGAATTAAGTATTTTATATGTTCAATATATGCTGATTTTGAAGATAAGAAAAATATTTAAAAACTCTTTTTCTCTTTTGTAATAAAAACCATTACATTTGTTAGATACCCACTGGTACACTTTATAATAAAACATGCCATATATTGGTGTGCATTTTATAATTTTTCCGTAATTTGATTGAATTTGTAATAGTCCATCGATGCAAGTCTTACAAATGTCGAACATATTAATGAAGTAATAATGTATCGGTATAGGTGTATTTCTGTTTAAAAGAAGAAAAGATAGGTTGTCAGGCAACGAAACATACGCCCACAGCAGCTAAATCGTCCGGGCAGTCAACAAGAGTTGTCGCATATTTTTACTTTTTTCGGTAATGAAACATTTATAATACACTAAAATCTGATTAAGAGCAACAACTCAGAAAACCATTAGAATTTGTTTGGTTTTTATAAAGTTCTGCCCCATGCTAACGTTTTGTATACAAAACTTTTAATACTGTATCATGGATTTAGCTGTTCCAAGTCATAAAAATTTATTGAATTTTAATATGCTTGTTCGTCTCAAGATCTTAAACTCTGTGTATCATTCTGAAGTCAATCGGATATTAACTTTGGCCTCTAGAGCGTCCACAAGATTTTTCAAAGTGATCAAGGGCCATAACTTTGGCAGTAATTATCAGAAATCTTTGAAAATCAATAGGATTCTTCGCCTCGTGACCTCAAACACTATGTATAAATTTAAAGTCAATCAGATATTAACTTTAGCCTTTAGAGCATCCACAAGGTTTTTTGAAGTGATCAAGGGCCATAACTCTGGCAGTAATTATCGAAAATCACTGAAAATGAATAGACTTCTTCGTCTTATGACCTTAAACACTGTGTATAAAATTTAAAGTCAATCGGATATTAACTTTAGACTCTAGAGCGTCCACAAGATTTTTCAAAGTGATCAAGGGCCATAACTCTGGCAGTAATTATCAGAAATCGCTGAAAATCAATAGGCTTCTTCGTCTCATGACCTTAAACACTGTGTATAAATTTAAAGTCAATCGGATATTAACTTTGGCCTCTAGAGTGTCCACAAGATTTTTTTGAAGTGATCAAGAGCCATAACTCTGGCAGTAATTATCAGAAATCGCTGAAAATCAATAGGCTTCTTCGTCTCATGACCTTAAACACTGTGTATAAATTTAAAGTCAATCGGATATTAACTTTGGCCTCTAGAGCGTCCACAAGATTTTTTGAAGTGATCAAGGGCCATAACTCTGGCAGTAATTATCGGAAATCGCTGAAAATGAATGGGCTTCTTCGTCTCATGACTTTAAACACTGTGTATAAATTTAAAGTCAATCGGATATTAACTTTGGCCTCTATCGAAATTCTATCGTTTATATAACGGATTATGATCACAATATGGTTCAATTTAGCAAGCCCTCCTATTCGGAAATAGCCCATGCCGTATAATCTCTGAAAAAAAAGCTATTTAGATGGCTGACATACAAGTACAAATGTTACGGTAAAGATAATTGGGCCTTTCACGACAGATCCCAACGGATAATATTTGAACCATTTTAAATCAGAATGGATTCACACTTAGGAACTTTCGCAAAGAATAGCTATACAATTTTATAAGATTTAGTACCGAAGGGTCCCCACATTCTTTAGATTTATTTTATAAGGCCTAATTTGTTACCAATCTGTTACCATACATCTACAAAAGGGAACTGAAAAAATGAATAATTCAGGTTTAAGTTAGTGTTTGGTTAATGAGAGACTGGTGTCCTAGTAGGACGATTTACAGTGTTTCCTGAGATCCCATATGTACATGTACCTGTGAATATCCATAAATCTGGAGTGTTTTCTTAGAGGGATCAACTTGTATCCTTCCACCACCTACACATTCACAGTCCAGACCTTTACTTTCAATATTTGGTGATATTTCATCAAAGATATCAGCTGAAAAAAAATTAAAAAATCACAAGTAAAGATACATGTACGATGGATTTCTGATACTTTGTACAGATTCATCCTTACCTTTTCGCAAGAATTTATTTTCATGGCTTTCACTGACCAAATCAAGAAAACGCAATCACAAAACTCAAACATACAACTGTAGGTTGCCACAGACTGAAACATACATGTATGTGCAGCAGTTATGAGCAAAACAAATAAAGTTTTAAAATATCAGATTTCGCTATTATTATTAAAAATCACTGAAAATCAGAAGGACATGTAAGTTGATATATGTATTTGAAGCGGCTTTAGCGTAAAATATTTAACAAGATTTCATACCAAAGGGGCATACCTTTTGAGGGAATTTTTTAAAAAAAACTGAAAATCAACGCGAGATAGACAACCTATTTCAATTTCAAAAAGAAAAGGTATTAATAACTATTATTTTAGTATACAATTTACCATTCCATTTTTGATAGGATTTTGTAAGTTAGATGCAAATTGTGGTTTGACCTATATTATTACCTCCCTTTCTTTTACAAAAACTGTTCCTGGAATTGATACCGAATGTATCTAGTTTGCGCCAGTAGAGATAATTCCTTTGTTCTGTAAAGATGTGTTTCGTGTCGTTTTCATGATACCCATTATTTTAGGGTTTATACATATTATGTTATTATTACTCTTATTTGTATTATATTAGAAGAGTTTGTATATATTTGGAACCTTGTTAGGTAATATTTTAAGACCGATAAATCGATTATTCTGTTCTTGTCTGTTCGTTTAACTTATCACGCGTTGAACACGTAACATCTGTCATAACATATTTGGGCCGGGTAGGCATAGGCCTATGTTTAATTAGTCCTACTAGTATAAAATGATCTTACTTTCAAGATGTTACATTAATAAGGAAATAAGGTTTGCCAGGTGAAACTAAAGGCATCCAATTGTGGGTCCACAGATTTACCCAAAACAACTTTAACTAGAACTGCGATGCAGTAATGACGGATTTCACCGGTGCCACGTTATCCTTAAACTTATGTCACTTCCGGTGCCAAGTTACCCTTGAACTTATGTCACTTCCTGTACCAATGAAACTGTTAAACAGGTTTCCACATAAGCATTGCACACAGGAAATAAAATGGACGCAGAATCAACCAAATCCAGCATTCAATTCATTTTATATATGTAAGTGGTCCTGACAAAATTACATTACTTCCGGTGATAATGAAAATGTTAAATTGGTTTTATGAAATCAGAAATGGCATCATCACATGGTGAAAATTTTATGTAAATTGAATAATAATTGCCACTTTTATACACCAAAAACCTTGAAAAGTGACTTGTAGAAAATCGTTTATTTCTCTGCAACCGTACAAGTTAGAAACATTTTGTGGTATCTGCATGATCGTATGGGTTCTTTCTATTTGATGATTGGAATCAAATATCATAATCTTAAAAATCTTAAAAACATTACAAATCAGACTCATTTGAATAAAATATCTGTTTTGTAGGCTAAAAATACAGTTTTTGCCAAAATGACATTACTTCCGGTAATACAGAAAATGTTAAATTAGTTCTATGAAATCATAAATGGCAGCAGGGGTCTCGATAACTTTTCGAACTTGATTAGCAGAACTGCTAATCAAGTTAGATAAATTCAGGCAAATTGATTAGCAATGTCCAGTTTTGATTAGCAGTGTGTGAATATCCATTGACTACAATTTCGGAAAATTGTGAAGTAAAATCTATCTGTTGAATTTCGATGACATTTCTGGGTTGATTTGTCTTTTGAACATGCAATATTCATAACCATGTCATTTGTTGACGTAACAGCCATTCACTCGTCAGTGCTGATATCAATCAAATAATATTTTACGTGTCGATGCATCAGGATCTAACATCGATACTTGCGATGCATCGGTCATACATTGGAAAAATTGACAGACATTAGCCTACAACTACGAAGATCGCTGTTGTCGATCGAAAATTCCCTGCTGCAAATATCCGTTATAAATTCATCATTTATAAGTATCTGCATTAATACTGGTGCCTATCTTTGTTAAATATTCCATAATATCTATCCCATTTTGTGAAGAAAATCAATGGATTATTTTTATTTCATCAAAGAAAAAAAACGCCTGTCATTAAAAAAAAAACAATCAGGGGGATGTAACTCCGCACATATAGGGGGCGCTAAAACTTTGCTTTTACCAGTAATAGATATTAGATTCTAGATGATCGTGACTAAACTTGCGAAGAAATGTCAAAAAATCGTTATAGAAACTTCCACAACTCTTTACAGTTAAAAAGGGGACATAAAATTGCCCATGTGAGAAATAAAAGAATCAATATTTATGATTAGCATTTGTGCGAATCAAGTTAGCTATTTTGTGGCAAATTGATTAGCAACAGGCAAGAATTGATTCGCAAAGTGCGATGCGAACCCGGTTATCGAGACCCCTGAATGTTACATTGGTTTGTTGACCTAGTCTAGATTGGCATAAGGCATCAAATGGTAAAAAAATATTGAAAATTGAATAATAATTGATTCTTTTACAGGCAAAATAGCGTGAAAAGTGATGCATGCAAAATTGCCTATTTCTCGGCAGCTGCTCATATTACAAACTAATTTTCACATATATTCTCTTCGTATGGATTATTGCTACGAGTTTATGAAAGTTACAAAGAAATATTTTAAAAATATGAAGGCACTGAATGGGTTGTAAATAGCTTAATTTTACACCTTTTTTTTCACCTTTTAATCGAAATTGCCCGAAAATGAAATCCAAATTAAAAAATATGAGCTCAAGATTCTGTGCGCCTTTACAGGCCGCACACTTTTAGTTATATCAGATTTTGTAAAAATAATATTTGCTTTCAAAAAGTGGTACCGAACTGTCAAAATTGTAGTTTTTGGTAAAATTACGTCAATTCTGGTGCCGACAGGAAACTCTATCGGTAACACAAAAAATGACAATTGAGACCACGGAGCATATGATCTTTGTTTTATACAACAATAAATAATTAATCTAGGACCGAAAAACTAAATTAGCCAATGGCGGCTAACGTAAATTACTGAGCCCAAATGGGTTCACATTTTTGCTCAAGAAGGATGACTCTTTAATCCTGTGTAAAATACCATCAAAAAATATTCATAAATAAAAACATTTTCAGTAAAAATTAAAATTTTTCTAAATTTGGCACCTTATATCTACGAAGATTTGCAGAAAATCAAAAGTAGCACAACTGTGTGCCCTGTCTCAGGCTATGCCAAAATGTATTTAAAGTTAAAATCCAACGATTATGGTTTAAATTAAGACAATATTTTGAAAAATGTCAACTTCCGTGATTTCGGACATTGCGCATTGTCGCAAAACGTTCAAAATGGCTTTATCCTCTACGTCACACCCACTTTCATAGTAAAACCGAAGACCCCGTAACGATGTGACAAATAGTTGCTGAGAAGCAAAATAAAAGAAGAAAAATACTAAGAACTACATGTAGACATGAGAGCAGCACTGAACCGGCTTTCAGGAATCAGACAGGAAGTGTGTCATACATTAGCCCATTAATTGAGCTACCAAACGATACTTTAGTTGTTTTGATTCAGTGACACCCGGCTGAGAAATCGCGATTTTTGCAAAATAAAAGGTGAAACAAATTGAAATTGTACCCAAATACCGCATAGAATGGAAAAACGACTTTGGTTGATGCAGTATGAAATGCACAGCGTATACTTTCTTTTGGACATGAGTATATATTGAGGCTAGACCACCCTAGGACTCCAAGTAACAGAAGTTTATGAAATGAATTAAGAGTAGTTTGCGAAATAAAAGCGTCTGAATAGGCTCCAAAAAGGAAAATACAAGATTTTCAGCGTCCCATAATGTATTGCCTAACCAGCAAATTTTTACCATTTAGATGTCATAAAATCGTCCATTGATCAGGATATACAATGATACTTTAGTTGTTTTTATTCGGTGAAATCTGGCAGAGTAATCACTTTTTCACAAGATCACCACTTCTTTTACTTTTTAGGGTTTTTTTTTCAAAAATATCGGATATTTTTTCGACTACTTCCGGTTTTTGGATCATTGTCGAGATAGTTTTAACAATTTGTTTAGATACTTAACTTTCTGTCACAGAAGTGTCAGAAACATCTATTCAGTAGTTTTTTGTAAAAAAGATAAATAAAAGAACATTTTCAATAATTTAACGATTTTTCAACTTTTTTCAAAGATTGAGGCCATTTTTGGACCCCTTATATTATTTCAAACCTTTTCCTTTTGGATTCACGCAAAAGACTACCGATAGGACTCTGCGTTTAAAAAAGTTTCAGAAAAATCGGAGTTGTCGTTTTCGAGAAAAAGACGTCTAAAAAGGCTCCAAAATCGGAAAATACTAGTTTTTCGGCGACCACAATTTATTTTCTAACCATCGAAATCGTCGCATTGAGATGCCATATAATAGTCCATTCATGGGGCTATCCAAAGACACTTTACTTCTTTTGGTCCGGTAAAATCTGACCGAGAAATCCAGCTTTTCGCACGAGCGACAATTTTTTAACCTTTTTTTTTCATTTTTTGAATACTTCCGGTATGGAGATTATTGTCGGAATAGTTTTAATAACCAGTTTGAGCAATTAAATAGCGGCAGGGCTCTGTAATGATATATTACATTATCTGATCAGATAAAATGACCCTGAGAAATCCTATGTTCAAAAGTGCCAAAAATGCAAAAAATGTCAAAATATCGAAATTAAATTTCAATAACTAAATACATATTATACATCGTTAGAATCGTAATTAGGTCAGCTATCCGAATCTGTAATCTTTTTGTAAAAATTTGTTTAAATAATAAAGTAATAGAGCATTTTGCAAAATTTCACGATTTTTCGACTTTTTTCGATTTTCAGTCCCTTTTTTTATCGTATTCCAGACATTTCAAAGGCTTATTG